ATGATAAAAAGTGTGTAAAGATAAATTGGTTTTCGGCTCATGAAGTAGATAGTAGATAAATCGAAGACATTTATGTTGTTATATTTCTATCGCAGCGATTCATATTAGATACAAGATAGGTTTATTGTCAAATTAAAATATGAAATTAGTTTTTCTCATGGCAACAAAAGTACATAAACAACAAAGAAACATACGATCAATGATAATTAATTTTACATCATATGTACAGTATTAATTAGATCTCTATGTTTGCCGAAAATCGTTAATAAGAGATCATGAGAAATTTGTTGACGCTTTATTTTGCCTGGTGATGTGATGATGATGAATTTTACTACTGTATATAAAAGTGTCTTCCCATCTAGGTACTACTTTATATTTCTTTTTTACCTCAGTCCCAACCACGTACGGCTGAAGTAGAGCTAAGAAAATGTATGATTACTGCACCTGTAGACAAAATTTGAATATATTATTTTTTTCTCAATATTTTTTGAAATTTTAAAAAAGGCCCCCACCCCCTAAATTGGCTACTGCTATTGATCGAATATCTGGAGAAAGAAATCATGTTTGTTTTTACTCAGTGTACCAGCTGATTATAACTCAAAGGAAATACCGATAGCCATGACTGAATTTTACTGAATGAACTTTAATATGGTTGGCAATGGTGGTGGGGAGTGGGGTGGGGGGAGGTAGGCAGGCAAGTAAAAAATTGAAATTATAGATGGTTGATGTCCGATACTTATAATTGACAAATAAAAATGTTAAGGAACTGAAATTGTATTAATATTTATTTGGCATATTATTATGCATTCATGACATGCGGTCTAACTGTTATACAGTCATAATAAAATCTATATATAATATACTACTGTATTAATTAATTAATTCTACGATCGGCAACCCATGGGTCGTAACCCAAGTTTGGGCCGTGAGTGAATTTTTGAGGGTCGTCTGATCACATCTGGGTCTCCAAAAGGTTATGCAGAAAGTCTTAAGTGTTAAAATTAAATACTTTAAAAATCAGAACATTCGAGTCAAAACATCGAAACAAAATATTTTTAAAATAAAATACGGTAATTTGTTACAATTTTGGCTATTGTCTTCAATTTGCGTGCCTGCATGCAGTGTACTATAATCTCAGTCAGACCGCCGTTTGTTTAATAGTGTTTTTGTTTGGATGCATGTATCATGAATAGAGTAAACGACTCAATAATTAGCAGGCCCTATGTTATGATACAGATTTGAATCCTAAAAATAAATTCAAAAGGCGTCAAAATATAAGTTGAAAGATTTTTGATTTTGAGACTGCTCTAGTTTTTTCGATACTGTACAATGAAAAAAAAAAAAACAGTACTCGACAATAAACAAAGCAGTATTTCTACATCAGTAGGTCGATGTATTTCTGGTTCCATTCTACACTTATATACTGATGAGATTACATTGAAAATAGCCCCAGGCCTACGTTACTAAGATTTTCTCTATACGTTCATGCGTGCGTTGGGCGCCGAGAAAACGTTGCGATGCGGGGAAAGTGACACACTTCAAGGTGTGCGCGACTGAACCCTGGACTGATCCGGGAAGCAAGAAAGCAATGCCTAAGCTAGGGCCTAAAACAATTGATGTTATTACAAGGCCTCAGGCCTAGACTTTACAACAAAATTTGTCAGGGTCATACATGAACTAACTCTGGTATGATTCCAATTAATTTCCAATATTTATACTCTGTAATTCCTGTAAACCGGAAGAAATATATCTGTGATTCGCACACCAAACCTCGCGATCGCGAAGCTCGCACACGCAGGTCTTACTCTTCCGGCAACAAACAGATATGACCTACGTTGACCTAAATGTTGACCAATCATAATCAAGAAAAGTTTGAAAACCGCAGTACGTACCGTGTAAAAGTCTACTTTCAAATAGTGCTGAACTTTTGGTTATAAAAAACACCTTTATGTACGTCCTATTTTGGTAAGCTTTTAGTATGTTGTTTTACATATAATTAAGTTTATATTTAGATCATAAAACGTTTTGTTGCAATTTTGTCCAGTCAAATCCGTATTTCCGGTGGACTACTAACATTAGACTGAAATATATTCTTCATTTCAACATTAATTTTACCAAAATTGTGGTGAATTGTCGTTCATGAGACTCACTTCGCAGTAAAAATTAATAAATGTCCTGTATATACTCAAATGTTCGTTTTCGGCACCTCATGCCAACATTGTCAAAATGACAGATTAATATTACATAAGAGCATAAAATTTTATAAAATTCGTAAAATTTAAATTGCTATAACTTTTCATTTTCTTGGTCAATTTTCACAAATCAAATTGCAGTTTATAGAAGCATTTAACAAGCTCGCGGTAAAAAAAAAATCAGATGTAACAGACATTACGAAGTACCCAAAATTAATAGAATAAAAACTAACACCATAAAACGAATGGCACGCATAGACTAATTGACGGCTGTACTCGCAACTAGTACCGGATTGTCGATGCCACAGTAAAGATCAAAGGACTGTACGCACGCGCTATGTTCGAGAGCGGAGATGTGCGTCCTTCTGTTGAATTACCTTGCTCTTCCAAAAGACTTCTAAAAAGGTATTGCGCTGTAACTTGCATCATTTCGGAAAAAGTATCGCATTAATCGCAGAATTATAAATAAAAGCCGTAAAATACAAAGCAGATAATGCACTTTCTCATAGTACCGTATTCTTCGAAATAAAGCAGTTACTAACTAGGCATTATCTGCTAAAGTTTCCAAGCCAGTTATTTAGATATTCGTTATACTAGCATCTGATTGGTTACTTACTATCTGTCTTGCGTGAAGTCAAGCGTTCAATGCATGTATGTAAGGTTTCGCACATATAATGCCTTTTCTCAGAGTATTTATAGTGAAATTCGCAGATAATGCCGAATTATAAATTTCATATTTCCAGACATATTTTTGGAAATTTGATAAAATAGTGTGATAGATTAGACATTCAGGAGTCACATAAGCTAAACCAGGGAACAGAGTGAATGTACTTAATGCCTTTTCTCAGAGCAGGGCAGTTACACAGTACTTGTAATAATGTATCCACATACCGTAAAACCTCGAAGTCCTGGTTCTTCTTTTTCTTAGAACCCTTCGGTGGGCTTCTTTTCGAGATGGGCCTCTTTTCAAGATGGGCTTTTTTATGTTACTTTTGTATTACTTTTGCAAACTAAAGAGGGGACTTGTTTTCAAAATCAATTCTGTATTTGGAATTGTTACTATACGACATTTTCAACTATGAAATTCGAAATTGCATATTTTTTAAATATTAACCATGCTAGTACAATAAAATAATATTGATACTGACACAATAATCAAAGATCATTATTGTAAGTCTGAATGTAAGCACTATCTCGAAAAAAAAAAATCCCATATTATCTTGATTGGAAACCCATGGCTTCTTTTTGAGATTATTTTTGCAAACTGCTTCTTTAAAGCCGGGCACTCATTGCATCGTGCGACAGCCCCAGGTCAAAAAAATATCAGATGTAACAGACATTACGAAGTACCCAAAATTAATAAAATAAAAACTAACACCATAAAAGGAATGGCACGCATAGACTAATAATTGACGGCTGTACTCGCAACTAGTACCGAATTGTCGATGCCACAGTAAAGATCAAAGGACTGTACGCACGCGCTATGTTGAGCGGAGATGTGCGTCCTTCTGTTGAATTACCTTGCTCTTCCAAAAGACTTCTAAAAAGGTATTGCGCTGTAACTTGCATCATTTCGGAAAAAGTATCGCATTAATCGCAGAATTATAAATAAAAGCCGTAAAATACAAAGCAGATAATGCACTTTCTCATAGTACCGTATTCTTCGAAATAAAGCAGTTACTAACTAGGCATTATCTGCTAAAGTTTCCAAGCCAGTTATTTAGATATTCGTTATACTAGCATCTGATTGGTTACTTACTATCTGTCTTGCGTGAAGTCAAGCGTTCAATGCATGTATGTAAGGTTTCGCACATATAATGCCTTTTCTCAGAGTATTTATAGTGAAATTCGCAGATAATGCCGAATTATAAATTTCATATTTCCAGACATATTTTTGGAAATTTGATAAAATAGTGTGATAGATTAGACATTCAGGAGTCACATAAGCTAAACCAGGGAACAGAGTGAATGTACTTAATGCCTTTTCTCAGAGCAGGGCAGTTACACAGTACTTGTAATAATGTATCCACATACCGTAAAACCTCGAAGTCCTGGTTCTTCTTTTTCTTAGAACCCTTCGGTGGGCTTCTTTTCGAGATGGGCCTCTTTTCAAGATGGGCTTTTTTATGTTACTTTTGTATTACTTTTGCAAACTAAAGAGGGGACTTGTTTTCAAAATCAATTCTGTATTTGGAATTGTTACTATACGACATTTTCAACTATGAAATTCGAAATTGCATATTTTTTAAATATTAACCATGCTAGTACAATAAAATAATATTGATACTGACACAATAATCAAAGATCATTATTGTAAGTCTGAATGTAAGCACTATCTCGAAAAAAAAAAATCCCATATTATCTTGATTGGAAACCCATGGCTTCTTTTTGAGATTATTTTTGCAAACTGCTTCTTTAAAGCCGGGCACTCATTGCATCGTGCGACAGTCGCACGACGAATCAACTCCGCCCTCTGTGAGCGGTAGACGACGCGACGCCGTCTGCTGATTTTCAGTCTGAACGGATCGTCATTGTGGGAACCGGCCATTAAAAACGATCAGTAGCGCGCGTCGTCGCGTTGCGTTCTTCCTAGAATCGCGTCGGCCGACGACCGTAGGGCGCATTGAGTGACCGGCTTAAGAGATGACCTTCTCGAGATTAAGCCCATGGGCTGCTATTCTTGGTGTTACGGTACATTACGGGACAGATGGCTAGCATACATGGATTACAGAGAATCTTGATTTATTTGGATTTATTTAACTTGAAAATTATATACCAGGATTCATATACTTATTCACCAGCAAAATGACCCACTGAAAATAAGTCTTCATTAAGCTGACATCCGCCTGCATATTTCAAATCGGTTCTGAAGAGTTATAATGAAACTAAAATATGAAAAAATAAATCGTAATAAATCACAGTACAATAAAACACAGTCACAGCCTATATGGTAATTTTAATGATGGAATGAAAAAAAAAATGAATTGGTTGAAATGTTAGGTTTCTGTAAAATGCATTAAGGAAAATATCTCCAAGAAGCTCTTAAGATAATATTAATGGTATTATGCTTCTATTTTTTGAATAATGACAAGTAGTTTCTCATGGTCGACAACATCTAAAATGTGTGTCATTAAGACTAAATTACAAGATTATCAGCAAGTTTATTCTTAAGACAATTTACAACCAAAATATGGCATTTAGCTGGATTAGGGATCATTGTTGGAAATACACCAACCATTTAAATTATCCTGATACAGACTGCATTAAAGGCATTTCCCCTATACGAACGGTTTCACCAAGGGGGAGATCGTCCAGATTTTGACATCCTTTAAAATGTGGTCGATGACTGCAGGCCAACGTCCATAAAATAGAGAGCTTTCGAAGACGGAGGGACGTACAACGTAATGACAACACTTAAAGTCATCTGCGCATGCGAGAACGTTAGTTCTTGTCTCGTGGATTCTAGGACGCGATTTGGCCAAATCTACGTATGCAGAGAACATAGGACGCCCGGTAGGACGGTCACGCATGAGTTCTAGCGCCGTGCCGTGGAACAAATCGAAAGCTCAGTTATTTACAATACTCATTATTGTCTATTTTAGGAATGATGGCTACGGTAACGCAAGAGTACTCTCTGTTATTGGAGAAGACGCAGAGCAACTTGAGCTCTGTACAGAGCACGACGATGATGATAGAGTACGCATCAGCACCTTTTAAGGAACCCTTACCCCTCCCAACTATCCTGTTAAAATCAATAGCAATTGCAATTCTGATAATCCTAACGGTGTTCGGAAACACGGTTGTCATCGCCATCATAGTAAAGAACAAGCAGCTTCGTGGAACCACTTACTATTATTTATTAAACTTAGCTGTGGCGGATATCATGATTGCTGTATTTACTGAGTGGACATATCTGGTGCATGATTTAAAGCGGTACTGGATCTTCGGAGAATTCACGTGCAAATTTTCAACTGTAATCCAAGGTGCGTACGGAGAGGTAACTAAGTGTAAATAACGAGTGTGTCCACGGTGTGAACACATTGTGGAATACGTCCACACTGTGTTCACACTGGGGCAACACATGGTTACCATGTATTCACTCTGTGTGTACACACAGTGCAAATCTCAAATCTAGTCAATATAAACACTGAGTCAACACTCCGTATACACTGTTCAACATTTTTCAAAAGGGTACTTTTGTAGTTAAAGTTTGATGATCAAATCGAATTCAGTTTTCAGATTTGACTTAATGATTTAATTAAAATGTTTAGATACATGGGCCAAGCAATCTAATCCAATAATATGCCCTATAATACTTCTTTACACGAATTTATCATTATTTTTAATTTATCATTCTAATTATGATGGTTATGATGATTATAAGAATGTAAATACGTACACGAAATGAACGTTACTCCGAACAAAAAAATTACGTGCACGATTGGTATCTTTTTTTTCAGTATTTTTTTTTATAGTAATATAATTGATATTGTTAATTGCGATTATCACCATTATTTTGCCGTCATGAAAATTATTATTATCGGCGTTTCTACTATTATCATTGTAATTATCGTTGTAAATATAAAATTTCATATCACTAACAATTTTGTAATCATAAATAATATGATGAACGGTACTATTCTATAAAAAGTTAATTTACACATGAGTACTGCAGTGTAGCACTTGAGAGACTAAATGAATTAAGAACATAGGCTTTCGTGAACACAGCATTTGTTTTAGTTCACTTTTTTCATATTGTAATCGTTAGCGTATAAAGTCAATTATTATAAATTTATTATTGTTCATTTTTTTTCTAGCAATTTCGGTGCACGTTAGTATTCTTACGTTGACCATCATTGCGATTGATCGTTACTTGGCTATAGTGTTTCCTTTGAAGTCGCGCGTGACGTCACGTAATGGTGGCGCTGGTATCTTTATTCTTGTTGTGTGGATGATAGCAATCGCTGTCAATATACCGCTACTCTTACACGCAGACTATTATGAGTGGGTATATGATGATGGTGTTTTCAGAGCATACTGCGGCGAGTACTGGGAGAATCAAATGATGGAGGCTATTTACACGACGCTGTTGATTGTAATTGTTTACATCGCTCCATTGTGTTTGATGATATTCGTCTATTTGACCATAGCAACGAAATTACTTATATCTCGTGCTCCAGGTGAACGTATTGAGTCGACTGTATCAAGCCAAGAACGAACAAAAAGAAAGGTATACCAATCGGAATGTCTTGGGTTGGGATCCTGATGTTGATAATGTTTTTTTTTAAATATATATATTGCTTCATTATCAACTTAAAGCTTAGAATTATTAAAGTTGCCAAGTGTCTCTATTCAAGACCGACGGCTATTACAACCAATACCAGTAGTATCATCCACATGTTGATGGAACGATTTTCTTTCCCCTACAAAACAGTCCTATATAAATTAGTGTGATTGATTGAAAATATGTTCGTTTTTTGTATATGACAGGCCTATGTGATTGTGTCCAAACATCAAAATGAAAATTTAATTGAGAAAATGTAGGCCTAATCGTAATTGTAATTTTCTATTGGGGAATTATATATAAAAGAATTAATTATAATTGTAATTGGAAAAATTGAAACTATGCCTGATGATGATGGTTATGATTGTAATAATAATAATAATAATAATAATAATGATAATAATGGCATCTTGTAAGGCGCACGTATCCATCTCAGAGAGCTGCTCGCGGCGCCATTGTGATGATGATGAAGATGATAGTGATGACGATAATGATAATTTGTCATGATCATGGTGGTGGGGATGATGATGATGATAATGATGATGATTTTGTCGATTCCCGTGAATTGTACCATACCTATGTTATTTTTATTAATCCAAGTTTTAAAAATGATTACATTTTATTTACTTAGGTGCTGAAGATGTTGGTAGTTGTGGTATTGACATTTGCCTTGTGCTGGTTGCCATACAATGTGTATACTATTTGCAGGTTATGGATTGGGCAGAGGCTCGATGTAAGTTAATATAAAAAATACAGATTATTAGCTAGAATTTTATAAACAAAAATGTAAAATACACTGGAGACATAATAATAATAATAATAATAATAGTGTAGTTTTATATAGCGCACAAATCCATCTAATGTAAGATGCTCAGGGCGCTTGAAATGTGGACTAGGAACTCGATCAATAACTGTCTTCGCCCCTAAGGGTCCCATCGTGTCTGTGCTACCCGGTAACCCGGTACCAGCAACTCTCGTCGTCCACCACAGGGGCTATCTGTTCCACTACACCGGGGTATCCCCCTACTCGTCTCGGAAGGATGTACTGGGTTCTTTATAGTGCACACGAGCCATTGTATACACTGGGCCTACGGTTTATAGTTCTTATCCGAGAAGACTTGTTCTACCACCAGAACCATAGGCGAGCGTGCCGTTCGAACCAGCGCCGATATTATGGCTATAGCTTGCGGCGCCCCTGCTAACCGCTCGGTCATCCGACTCACCATACTGTCTTGTGTTAAACTTCAACAACAATAATGGCTCGTATTCATTTTAAAGTCCTTTATTTATATTTAAATACATCATCACATTGCTCCAAGTTATCTCAGTGATCTGGTTCAACTCCACTTACCTGTTCGTACTCTTCGTTCATCAACTCGACCAACAACTGCAACGAAACTTAAAAGTTAAAACATATGGTGACAGAAGTTTTCCCTCAATCCCACACTGGGATGATTCGAGGTTTTATGTTATTACCTAAAGGTTGCATGACGAGTATCAATTAAGTGAGTTATCAACCTCCGATGAGAAATAGATCAGGCTACTGAAGCTTAAAGTGATCTTCCGAGTTTCCAAAATAATTATATTGGTTACATGGTATTAAGTACATTAAGACGTGTACTTTATTCCATGAAAAAAAATAAAAAATAAAAATAAAGAAAAAAAGAAGCCAAGGGTTTCAATTCGAGGTTTTGCGGTATTTTAATTCATTTAAATGAGCATATCAGCCTAATCTAATTTTGAATATTTGAGGTTAATTTTATTAACATAAATGATACAACTTCAAGACTTACTAATCCTAAAGAATATTGTAACTTCAAATCACCCCTGATACAATTATACATTTTTGATAATCTTATTATTTCTTTTATTTCTATTTCAGAATGAGACAGATGATAAAATACATTTTGCCATTCTTTGGCTCGGTTATGCAAACAGCGCCCTCAATCCATTCATATACTGCGGCTTCAATCAGAATTTTCGAAAAGGTTTTCTTCAGATTCTTACGTGCAATTCAAAAAGGTATTCACCGTGCAACAAAGACGTGTACAGCAAAAAAACAATCCCAAGCCAAACCGAAAAAACAATAGTCGAGCAACAGAGCCTGATGTGATCTTTGCAAGCAGAAGTAAACGTGATGACATTCGTTTTACACTCCAATGATGAGAATTCAGATAAGCCGAACCAACCTAGAGCGGTTCGCAATTTCATCAGATTAGGCTTTAAAGAGGAAGATGTGTATAAGAGACAGGAATGTCTTGGGTTGGGATCCTGATGTTGATAATGTTTTATATATATATATATATATATTGCTTCATTATCATCTTAAAGCTTAGAGTTATTAAAGTTGCCAAGTGTCTCTATTGAAGACCGACGGCTATTACAACCAATACCAGTAGTATCATCCACATGTTGATGGAACGATTTTCTTTGTAGTATCGCTGATGGTTTGTGTTGTTCCTTTTTTCTTTGTCTCTTCTTCATCTTATTTGTTTCTTTTATTTAACTTCTATTGGACATTTGTTGAAAGCGCATAGAGACCTAGTATTATGTGCTTTAGAAGTCTACATCCATTATCGTTAGCATTACCATTATTGTTAATTGTTAAATGTTACGCTTTTATTATTTATTCAATATTTATTTCAAATATTTTCTTTTTATATACAGTAATTATATGAACGGCAGTCTGAGATAAAGCTGAAATTCATAGAGACATTATTATTATTATTATTATTATTATTATTATTATTATTATTATTATTATTATTATTATTATTATTATTATTATTATTATTATTATTATTATTATTTATCGTCGACAATATCGCTGTGTTGGTCGTCAGGCTATTTAAATGTGCTACCGACTGTTTATATTTGATTAATATAGTATATTCACAGTTGTTTATTATACGGTACGGTATAGTCTTGGATTTTATCATTATGCTTACTGTTATTATAATGTTTTGTGTTTCCGACTCATACGACTTAAGCTGAGAAAGGACACCAATGTGTCTGAAATATTTGTGTTTAATAAACAATATGTCTATATA